AGTCCTGTGGCCACTGCTGCATTTTCCAAAAATACTTCAAGAATAGGAATTAAATGCAGCATTTATTTTGTCCAAAGTTGATAGATGGATACGTTTCAGAGTATCACAGTGGTTTCTGGGTAAAAATTCTGCCTCTATAAGCAAATTGAACTAAATTAGTCAGCCTTTCTTTTTAGATGATTTTGATTGTTTTAAGTTCTTTGTATGGTGAACTTGTGAGGGCTTCCCTGGTGGTTCAGATGGTAAAAAATCCACCTGCAATGTGGGAGACCTTGGTTTCAATACCTGGGTTGGGAAGATCCTCTGGAGGAGGAAATGGCAACCCACTCCAGTATTCTTGCCTGAAAAGTCCCATGGACAGAGGAGCCTGTTAAGCTGCTGTCCATAGGGTCGCAGAGAGTCTGATCCAACTTAGCAACTGAGTGCATGCTAATTAGGGAGCAACTGACTAGAGGGATCAGTGACAGAAGTGACAGGCTTGTGGGGCTGGAGGAGGCAATACCTGGGGTACCAGGCAAGACAGGTACCCAGGGGTTGCCTGCTACTTACACAGTCCAGCTTGCTCTTCTTCCACAGGTAGTAGGGATCGGCGAGTTGCTTGAGAGAATTCTTGAGGTTGACAGCAATCAGGGCTCCTAGCACAGACTAGGTAAGCAGAACAATGCTGCCTGTCACCTGGGGTGTGTTCCCTTCTTCCTGCCCTTCCTACAAACCCCTGGCCCTGGGGGCAGGACAGAATTGCAGTTCTAGAACTGGCAGAGCCCCCAAAACTTTGCACTCAACCTTAGGGTTGTTAACTGCAGGTGCTGGAGCCAGAGGGCCCTTGGGCCTGAATTTTGCCATCCCCTCCTTCCTTCATCCCTGGACAGACTGTGCCTAGGGCCTTCTGAGCCAGGGGCTCACAGATGCTGTAAACGCTGACTTGGGTGTGGACCCTGAAGTCAGGAGGCTGGAGTTTGAGACCAGCTCTGCACCTGTGAGCCTTGTCACCGCTTCTCGGCCTCAGTTTCCCTCACTTGTAAAATGGCGAGAGTAAAACCTACACTAACTGCTTTGCAGGTTCTGGCCAGGACGAAGTGTGACAGTGATGGTACTCTGTAACCTGTGAGGCATCACACAGCTCCTAAGGCCTGTTCTTACTGGAGTCTCTCACTGCCTTCTGCTCTGACGCTGTGTCTTACCTTGGGGAGAGCGTAGAGATAGGACCCCAGGACCAGCATGGTGACCATCACCACCAGGGACACACACAGGCTTGACACCTATCCAGAGAAAGAGATGGAAATGGGGCGTAGGTGTGAAATTCTTGCTCTTGATTTTTTTTTCCCCAATAAATGCCTTTGGTGGAGTAGAGACTGAGGAGAGGAGAGGGAGGCTGGAGACCTGTTGACCTGGATTCTCTGGGGCAACTGTTCTGCTACACCCAACCCCTTTCCTACTCCCCTGATCCAATGCTCACCTGGGATTTTCCTCCAGCTCCATCCACGGCCAGAGTGACAGAGAGAGCACAGCAAATGACATGGATCTTAAAGAAGGAGCCGAAGAAGTTGCTGCAGCCCAGGGCGATCATCTCCTGTGGGCACAGGGGCAGGATTGGAAGCTGGGGGTGTGTGTGTGCGGGGGTGGGACACACGGTACAGACCAAACACAATCATTCAAGCTAGCTGGATCTTGAACTCGAGAATGACCCAGCTGCTATAAAGCCATACACTCCCAACCAAGTAGAAGTCAGCCAAAGAGCCCCTGGACATCCCTCGCCAGGCCTCTGTGGGCCCCGGCCTGGCCTGCTCAGCCCTGCTGGGAGTGGCTGGACCTACCTGGTTAGCATCCACATCATAGCCGTGCTTGTTGGCCAGGGTCCGGCCCATGGCCAGGTTGATGACATAGCCCACGATGGCCAGGGAGAAGGCCGTGCCAAGCATGTCCTTCCACTGCGAAACCACAGGCGACACGGGAGTGGGGAAGCTGTCAAGGAGCCAGAAAGGAGGCAGGGCCCGAGGGTGTGAGGAGGGAGCCCGCAGCGGGCACAGAGCCCACTCCGCTCCAGGGCCTCTGCGTGAATCCCCGCTTCCAAATGGGGCGCTCAGTGCCCTGCTGCAGGGCAGCTACCGTCCTCCCCTTGAAACAGCAAAAATCGAGGCTCAGAGAACACAGCTTGTCTGAGGTCACCACGCTAGTAAGCGGCAGGGCCTCATTTGTTCACATGCAGAATTTGGACTCCTCACTCTTCCCGGTCCAGAGCCACAGCCCCCAGTGCTCTGAGGCCTTTTCCGCATTGTCTGCTCCAGCCCTGCCATATAAACACTGGTCCTCCCCTCCTAGGGCCCAGCACAGTCCCTGGCACAGAGTAGACACTCAGTGAATTCCGTTGATCCTAATAGCTTTTATTCCGTGTGGATAGAAGAGCCAATGCATTAAAGCAAGGCAAAGAACCAGAGAACGACTGACCAGAGAGGTTTCACCCATCAGATGAAACTTTTGGGGGGAGTGTGGCAGTCAAGGGGGCTTCCCAGGTGGTGAAGAACCAGCCTGCCAATGCAGGAGACATAAGAGACGTGGGTGCAATCCCTGGGTTAGGAAGATCCCCTGGAGGAGGGCATGGCAATCCACTCCAGTATTCTTGCCTGGAGAATCCCATGGACAGAGGAGCCTGGTGGGCTATACAGTCCATGGGGTAGCAGAGAGTTGGACATGACTGAAGTGACTTAGCATGCACACACATGGCTGTTAAGAATCACTGTTCATGAAACAGCCCACATTGTGTGGCTCTTCTCCATAATAAGTGATAGTAACCATTCATAGCTGGTCAGTGTCAAGGAGTTTATAATACAATTTAGAGAGTTCATCTCATCTCTGACTCTGAACCTAGGTGGGGAGGAGAGTGGGGGTGGGGCCAGGCTTCCTAGCCACCTGGACTCACCCAGGTTGGATCTCTCCCACGATCTGCATGTGGTATTTTTTTGGCATCTTGTAGCTCCCAGAGATAGCTGTTGCCACCACTACCTGCAGAACCCAGAATGGAGAATGGGGATTAGATCTAAATTAGGGCCAGGGTAGGGGTCCCTCTCTAGTCTCCCTTTTGTCTGGGGACCCCAAATCCCCCTCCCCTGACTCCTTGAGGGGGATCAGCCTGAGGATCAGGAAGAGGAGGAGCCACACACAGGGGGATGGAGTGGATTCACCCTAGACCTGTCCTACCGGCTCATAGGGGGCAAGCTGGTGGGGGAGGGATGCATAGAGGGACTCTCTTCATTCTGGCTGGAGCTAGATTCCTTTTCGACAGCCTCCTGCCTGGGCCCCAACACCCCAGCCCTGGGCAAGGTCCTTACCACAATCATCTCTGTTGGGATGGGGAAACGGATCCTGTGCATGTAGCGGGCATTGAGCTCCTTCACCAGCACCAGGACCACACCGCTGATGAGAGCGAAGATGAGCGAGGCGATGTTGGTATGAGCGAGGTTTTTGCAAATGTCAATGAAGGTCTGGGGGAGAGAGCATGACGCTCATGGGCTCCCACCCCTTCCTCCTGCACCACTACCACCCAGCATCTGAGCCAGTGGAGGGACGTTGTCAGGGCTCTGAGAGGCACAGCAAAGCAGAATCCAGACTCTACTCACAGTCCCACTTCCCACCCCTGTCTCCATGCTGGGACGGGGAGGCTGCTGCCCTTCCTTTTCCTCTAGGAAGAGTTCAAGCTAGTGGAGGAGGGATGGCGATCAGACATAAGGAAGAACTTTCCAGGTAGGGAGGGGTTGAGGCACTGGAATGGGGAACTGGTGGAGAGTGTACATCTCCTTTTCTGCAGCAATTAACCACGGCGATTTGACCACACTTTGGCTACCTGATACAAAGTGCTGACTCATTGAAAAAGACCCTGATGCAGGGAAAGATTGAAGGCAGGAGGAGAAAGGGGCGACAGAGGATGAGATGATTGGATGACACCACTGACTCAGTGGACATGAGTTTGAGCAAGCTCCGGGAGTTGGTGATGGATGGAGAAGCCTGGCATCCTGCAGTCCATGGGGTCTCAAAGAGTCAGACACGACTGAGTGACTGAACAACAACCACAGAGAACCTCAGACAGCCTTCAAGGTCACATGTTTGACCCTCCCTCCCCAAATGGGAACCTCTTGAAATCCACTCTGAACAATGGGTCAGATGGCCTTTGCTTGAGAACATCTCATAACGAGGTGTTCACAACTTCTTAAGACAGTGAACTCGGCTCACGTGTCTGCTCAAGACCCTCTCGCAGGGGTGCACTCATAGACTCACAAAGACGATGGACCCTGGGCCTGCGTAGGAGGGGACGGTCAGTCCGAAGATATACTTGAGCACGGAGATCAGGATCTGCAGGCCAGCGGCCGTCATGAAGCCCCGGATGAAGGACTCAGAGAGGTAGATGGCCACAAAGCCAAACTGCATGAAGCCCAGGCCCATCTGGGAGCAGAGGGGTGGTGGAGTCAGACCATGATGGGCCAGCCACTCTCACACCTGCTGGGCCCAAACCCAGGACTGGAGTTCATGCAGCCCTGAGACAGTAGTAGCTCTAGGAAAACAAGTCCCTTGTGACCTTGTCCTGCCTTGTACTGACAGAGAAAATTAGTCCCTCGGGACACAGGCCTCTGACACTTGACCTCACTGGCTCCAGTTTCCTCCACTGTGGAATGAACCTGGTACTCGCCAGTGTTTGCCCTCTCAGTAATTGACACCCCGTCCGCCCAGTTGGCCAACCCAGAACTTGGAAGTCATCCCCCCTCACCCTTCATTTCTAATATCCCAAGCCCTGTTTATTTTGTTCCTGGCAAAGCATTCTCCCAGTCTACCCCTGCCTCCTTGCCTGCCACTCTGGTCTAGGCCCTTATCACTCTTGCACGTGGGCCTCTTCACAGTCTCGCAACTGGCCGCGTGCTTTGATTCTAATCGACTTTCCATCCACCGTCTTCTCCAGAGTCTGAGTAATGCAATCTGACTGCCAAATAGGAACCAAATTTGCTGCTTAGGGGACAGATCTCAGCCTTGACTGTCTGGCCCTGCCTCTTCTCTGGCTCATTCTCCCAAGGTCTCCTGCCCTCCGGCCACACTGAGTGCCCTGTTTTCCATCCCCTGGTCAGTTCACGCTCTGTTAGGCCTCAGTGCTTTGGGGTGCTGCTCCCTCTGATGGGACTGTCCTTCTGGGCCTCTTTCCTTTGGTTACCTACTGGCCAACTTCTACTCATCCTTTTAGACTGAGGTCAAATGTCACTTCCTCTCTTTGAGGAGAGGCCTTCCCTGACTTTCTCTTTGATGTTCCCAAAGCTGCTTGTATATAGCTCTATTCTGCTGCTTATCTTACTGCCTACACATTTATTTGTTGATTTGGCTACTTCCTCCGCTGGTCTATGAGCTTCTGGAAAACTGGGCCTCTCTCTCTTACTTATCTTTTATCCCCAGAGCCTAGCCCAGTTCCTGGCATGGTGAAACAACCAAAAAACATTAACTGAATGGATCAATGAATGAAACTTCTGAGGCCCCTTCCTGCTCTTACATTCTGCCCTGCTACATTTGCCTGCATGAAGCCTAGCAGAGTCCTTTGCATGTGGCGGAAATGCGATTTATCTCATGCAGGAGGTGCTGTGGCTTGGAGCAGAGACGGCTGGAGGGGGATAAGGGGTGTTACAGAAATGGAAAACTTCTGGCAGAGAGCTGGGCACTGGAAAGGGTATCGGAGAGAGGCCATGAGTCCTCTAGACAGTCATTAGCTCCGGACACTTTTACTAAGTGTGGATGCTGGTCTTATGCACCTGCTGAGGGCAGATGAGATATTCTGAATTTTTAAGGTCATTTGTGGCCTCCAAACAGGGAAGAGGGAGGATGGAGAGGCCTAAAACTGCTTTAAGGTCAAGGCTGGGCTTCTGTGGGAAGGGCAACATGAGCTGATGCCTTATTATGGGGGGCATGGCAGAGATGGAAGCTGAGCTTTTTACCTGGATGACGGCCGTCAGGCAGGCTAGCGTTGCTGACACGTGCAGCCTTTCGGCCTCCATGGCCCCCGTGTCCACATAGCTTTCATTGGTGGCATTGTTGAAGACCCGGAATTTCGACTCTGGGGCCAGCTGCAGACAGATGTTACCCACCAGGATGCTGATAACGGCAAAGGTACCTGTGGTGCCCCACCCCGCCAGCAAAAGTCAGAGGTTTGGACTGCACCCATGGAAACCAGAAGGGGCCCAGAACACTCCCCAACCCCCGCAGGGATGGCGCTCCATGCCTCCAGGGTCCTCTCCAGCATCACAGTAACCATTCGTATCTGACCATGATCTACACTCTTCCAGGTGCTTTCACCCCACCTGTTAATATTCCTTTATTGGACACGTGAGGAAATAGGCTTGGAAATATAAGCAGAGCCTGTGTCAGAAACAGGCTGTTTGACCAGGCCGTTTTCCTCCATCTCATTTTGCACCAGAGAGCTCCGAATGTCCCTGAAGTGGCCTGATGGATGATGGTTGTCGGAAGGCCATTTCTGTTCAGCCCTTTATGGCCTATCTTGTGCTGCCAAGTCTTCCCCACATTCCAGTGTCATGCTAACTGAGCTCACGGAAGCTAAATGGCTTCTCCAAGGTCACAGAAGACCTGGGATCGACACTCATAGTGACAGTCCCTCTGGGGCCAAGCAGTGCCAGCTGGAGGAGAATGCAGATGGGAAAGCACCCAAGTCCCCTTTGCCACCCACTACCCATCCCCACGGTCCAGGTCACCTGCCTGCTAAGAGGGGAGGGGCCTTACCTGGCACCATCTGGTGGATACCCCCCAGGAAGAAGTAGGTCAGGAGGGGGAAGAAAGAGGAGTAGAGGCCGTTGACTGCAGGAAGGTTGGCCAACAGAGCGAATGCCATGCCTGCACGGGACACAGAGAGTTAAGGCCCTGGGGCACAGTTGGGTGATGGAGGTCACAGAAGACGGACTGGGAAGGGGAATAGGCTTGGCTTAGGGGACCCCCTGACCTTGTGGAACCTGGATGCATCCACCGCTGAGGCCGCCAAGAAGGTCGGGGACGATGTAGTCTTTGATCTTGTACTTGGGGAGCCAAGAGAGAATGGGGAGCAGCCCGAACACTGTGGTTTTGATCTTGGCTGAGGAACATCTGGAGGGGAAGAGGGTAGGTTTTCAGTCAGCACTGCATTCAGAGTGGGGAATTGATTACAATATCCTGTTCTTGGTCATTCATTCACGCATTCACACAAAATTCAGTGAGCATGCACACTATGTGGCGGAGACTCTCCTCTTGAGAGCCGTCACCTTGCTCTGGGCCCTGGTTGGAGATCTTCTGATTGCCTACTGCTAACCTGGGAAGTCTGCAAGACTTGTCATGCAGAAAGGCATGGATTTTGTGGATGCTTAGCATTCTGAGGTGTCAAGTCCAGCTCAGACGGCCGTTCTCTGATCTGACTGAAAACAGGCCCGGTCACCCTCACCTGGGCTCCTGCAGCAGTGTGTGTACCTCGGGCTGTAATTCCTTGCTTTTCATCTGCCTCCCCCACTACACAGGAAAACCAGCATGGAAAGAAGTCTGGTCTCTTGTCTAGCTTTGTATTCCTCATGCATCACACTGGGATGCTTAGTGAATATCTGTTGAAAAAATGAGTGAATGAACAAGTGAAAGAATGGGCCTGATTCTGATTCAGAACTCAGTCTGAATGGGGGCTGCTGCTGTATTTTTTGGAAGCTCCCCCTAAAGGGAGGCTCCTCTGTCCCTGCAGGGTGTGCCTCTGCTGACCCACCATCCTTTGTGTGTGACGATTCCAATGCTGGAGTTCTTTCCCCTGTTAATTCATCAAAAGAGGGAAGAATGGGGAAACTATTTGTTGGTCAGCGCAGGGTGGGGAGCATTGATCCCTCCCCTGTTTGCTGAACACCTTGAGGTCCTTTCATCAGAAACTCAGAAGCGGTAAAAACAAGGGCCTTCAATCTCAAGGATGACAGCTGGTGGATTGATGACCAGAAGAGGTGGGGAGGCCTTTGCTTTTCTTCTCCCAGCTGAGGGAATTCAAATACTCAGGGCCCATCTGGTGACTCACTGGCTTGCTGTGATTAGGCCTCCTTTCCTGCCCAGCACCGATTCCTGTTCTTTACTGTTGCTCAACAATAGTTTCCCTGACACTGGGTCCCCTGGGTGTCACCCAAAACTGAAATCAGCACAGACAATGCTTTGTACCCTTTAAAATCTGGGTAGATTTTCTGTCCCAACCAGCACTTCATGGAACAGCATCACCACTGCCTCTGAACTCCCCAGTCCCCTCTGCAGTGGGTAGTGCCTCTCCCATCCCTGGGATGATGGACAGGGAGTTGGACTGGAAGTAAATAGCTTAAAGCATTTCTAAAGGCTTGTCCTAAGAGACAACCAGGCCCCCAGGAACTCTCTCAGGTTTGTTCATGGCAGGGAAAACTGGACTCATGAATGGAGAGCTGGCTGGGGGAGAAAAACAACCCACTCAAGGGCTTGTACATGTCCAGCCTCACTTGCAAGCCTGCCATAGTTGAGCAAAGCAATCTGACTTCCCTGAAGTCTGAGAGAAGATCTGGAAACAGATGCTAAACACCTGTAGAGAGGTTCCAGAAGCCAGCTGGAAAGTAGATAGCAGGATTAGTTTTCTAGACATTCATTCATTCATTAAACAAAAATTTATTGGAGTACCTTCTGTGTGCCAGGCACTGTTCAAGGCCCTCCTGCCAGTCACATGGGAATTGTTAGCTCCCTATGACTTTTTGTGGTTTCCATCATCTTCATCTTTTAGGAAAACAGCAGATACCCTCATCCCTCCAGTACAGAAACAACACAGACTTAAACTCCTTGGCACAAATGCTGACAAGGTCTTTATATAACCAGGCAGAGATGGAGCCTCCCAGGAGAGGTAGGGCTGGGCTGGTGCTTTTAGTGAAGACTCAAGTGGGTGATCCCCCAGCCTGAACCAGTTCCACCTGCACCTCCACTTCAGCCATTGCCAGTGACCTCAATTCAGGTAACTGAATCAGCTGTTTCCCCAGGGGAGTGGGGAAGTGACTTCTGCCACGGACCACAGTGAGGCCTGAGGGAGGTCTACCAGATGTCTGCGAAGGGGGGTGCGGTAAAGTCCATAGCCTCAGCCTCCTGGAGTGCGGGTATAAGTCACCTCACAGAGTTCCCTCCTTATGGGTGTGGTTTCACTACCCACCAACACAGTTCCAGGGATCTGAGAGTGGAACAAGCCCAGGGGCTGGTGAGACCACATCCTGGTAAGTAACCTTTAGGGGAGCCCAGGAGTTTAGGGGCTACCTTTGAGCACTGTCTGGACCTGGGAAAGGAAGGAGCATCCAGGAGAGAAAGAGGACAAAGTACACGGGCTGGGAGAGGCTTCAGATTTTCCTTGATGAGGAAGGGACAGGAGGAGGGACAGCAGAAGTGAGGGCGCTGACCTGCTGTGATGACGCACCCTTCCCCAGCACCCTTGAGAGCCCAGGAGGTGCTCACATGGGCTGAGAGCATGGTGAGACCTCACGCAGGGGTCCGGACGCTGGCCAGCCCCTCTGGATCTGTGAGTGGTCCTTGTCCCTGTTCCCCATTTCCTCGAGGGCCTCAGTAAAGATGAGGTGTAGGATCTCCTGTTCCCCATTTCCTCGAGGGCCTCAGTAAAGATGAGGTGTAGGATCTCCTGTTCCCCATTTCCTTGAGGGCCTCAGTAAAGATGAGGTGTATTCAGGGTTCAGAACCTCACCTCCCCAAGGCTTCCCAAGTCCCATCTGAGGGACAGCGGTATAGGAGCCATGCCCTGGTGCGGGGAGGGTTGGTGGGGGGCAGAGGAGAGAGGAGTCTGGGCTTCCAGCCATGTTACCTGAAAGTGTTGCTGAGTTTCTCTCCCAGTGGGTACGTCCGGTTCTTCTTCTCAAACTCGTCATCGAAGAGGGTGAGAGAGTATGCATCTCTGTCTACCACGTAGCGGGGCCTGGGCTGGCTCATGTCTGGAGCATTTACAAGCTTTGGGAGACACAGAGGAGGGAGGATGAGGGGCATCCCTTCTCAGTGCCGGCCTGGGCCATCTCTCTCTGGTCCTAGCTCAGCAGGGTTTTATGCTGTCTTCCCCGCCCCCAGCCAGCAAGGTGCCTCCCTTCCCTCTTTCAAGTCTTTCCACCAGACTCACTTCTCCTGGTGGCCTTCCTTCCCAGGCACAGGTGATGCATACACTTGCCCTGGCTGTTTTGCTTGGCACCCAGCACGTGGTTGGCACTCCACATCTATGATATCACTGTCACCCCCGCTGAACACCAGGCAACAAGGAGGCGGGAGTGCAAGGGCAGGAGTCACAGCTCGGATTCAGCGGGTTGATCCTCTCCCTCCTTTCCTGCCATCCTCGCCCCAACCCACGCTGGCCCCTGGTATCCTTGCAAGCCCCTTTGTGCACCCCCCCCCACCCCCAGCCGCCAGACTTCAGTTTCCCGGGCAGAAAGGCTCATACCATCCTGTCAGTCAGCTTGGAAGAAAGAAAGCAGGCTGCCTGGAGGCAGGGGGATGGCCAGGGTGACCTTGGGAGGACCTTCTTAAAGGAGTCGCCTAGGAACAGGTTTTCCCAGGGGGACAGTGGTGTTTGGGGAAATCAAGACGGTCTGTGCTGGCTGGCTCTCCCACGGCTTCCTGTGTCTAACCTTTCCCCCACCCTGTATACTGATGTCTCTCTCCTCCTTGCTTTTTGCGCAACCTTGCTGACATTCCAGGAGCTGAGCAGGGCAGAGCTAAGTGCTGGGGCCCTGAGGCCCAGAGCTCCTGGTAGAGATCTTTCCTCCTCATCCTCCAACTGCTGGTCCCCACTCCTGCCCCCTGCCCACCTGCCCCCCCGCCCCGCCCCCAGAGCTGGGAAAAGCCTGCCTGGATGACCTCAGAGGAAGAAAGGGGAGAGGAGGAGAGGAAAGAGATGGCATAAGCTTAGGGGGAGATGATGTCTCGCAGGTGGAGATTGTGGGATGGCTGTAACCAGTTTGGCAAAAGATTCGAGAGAGAGTTTAAAGTGAGAAACCACATGGGGGGCTCAAGATGCTCCTCCACAGGCTTTCTGGGGGAGAACCTGGGTGAGTGACAGGTTGTCAGAGGGGAGCAGGCTGGTTGATGTTTTTTGTGGAAGAGCACGCTGGGGGAGAGGAGGAAATGCCTTAACTACGGGCCCAGAACCTTGGGTTCTAGTGCTGCCTTTACTGGTGAAGTGGAAGGGGCAGCATTCCTTTCTGAAACTCAGATTCCTCATCCACAAACCTGGGGGACCATAGGTACCTCACAAGGTTGTTTGAGGATCAGATGAGTAAATGGACAAGAAAGGCTTGTGTGAAGCGTAAGAGTGAGATAAATGTAAGTTGCTGTTGTGGATAAGACTGTGTCCAGGTAGATGCAGGTCAGGCTGCTGCGTCTCATTCACTGGGCCACAGGACCCTGAGTTCCACCAGGACCTGTAAGCATGGTGCCCTGCAGAAACCCCCAGATGCTGCTCAGCTGGCGGGGCAGTTGTGGGGTGAGCCTGCCCACAGTGCCTGGGCCCACCCAGCCCTTTGCCTGGTGTTTACTGTGCACCCAACAAATGCTTGTTGAGTGAATCAATAAATGTTCTTTTGGAGAACACATGCGTTGAATTGAACAAGAGTAAAGGCCCGTAAGATATTTCAGTGGGGCAGGTGAGAGACTGAGTGGCATAAGGAAAACAGCACAGGTTTTGGAGCCAGGATGACCTGGGTTCAAAGATTCGGTTTCTTCATCTATAAATGGGGATAATAACAGTCCCAGGCATTTGCCATGAAGACTAAATGAGATCATGAGTGTGAAGTTTGGTCTTCCAAGGGCACCCAGTGAATGGTAACGGCGATGATTACTATGATTAAGACGGGAGGGTGCTTCCTTCCTCTTGGGAGAGACTGTTCAGAGGCTTCCAGCCCTTCACCTCCAACGAGGCAGGGTGGCCTCGCTCCCCCTACCCCGCCCCACCCTCTCATTGGGCCTGGAAGGGTCCGACCTTCCCAGTACTTTGCCTGGTGGGCTCTATGGGAGAAATGAGTGGGAGTCATGACCCTCTGGAGGGACCCCAAACTCTAGCCTGGCTTCAGAGGAAGACTCATAGACGTGGGGAGTCTATGCCTGGCCACCAAATGGACCACTTATAAAGGAATTGTCGGGGTCTTCAAGGGAGCTGCACCAGAAGAGGGAAGAGGGGGCAATAGAAGATCTTGTTTCCAGGCCAAGCAGCACGCAGTGATACCAGAGGCTCTGCATTCTAGGGATGTGTGTTGGGGGGAGAGAGGGTGGTCAGTATCTGATCCCACAGAACCAACTCACCCGATTCCCTTGCTTGGCTCCCTCAGGTCCTCAGTGGCACCTTTCGCTACCCGGCATTCTTGTCCCTGCCCTTACCCTCCTGCAGCCTCCACATTCAGCAGCCCATCAAACCCCATCGCTGTTTCCTTCTGGTGTCACTCCCAGGTCTTATCTCACACCTGGACTATTGCATTAGCCTTCTGACCGATTCCCCAGCCCATACCCCCAGCTCAGAAACTCTCAGCTTCCTCGTGTCCAGGAGCGGATCAAGTCCAGACTCCTTATTTTGGCATGTTTGTCTGCGCATCACCTGACCCTGGTTTGGTGGACTCAGTAGATCTGTAGGTTGCACCTGCCCTCTGTATCCAGGCTGTCCACTCACCCCACTGAGCAAGCTTCTTCAGTTTTCCCTCTGGGGCTCCGTCCATACTTTCCACCTTACCTGAGATGCCCTGACTCATTCTGCCCTCACTCAGCCCTGCCCAGTCTTAAGACCTGCTGGGTTCCTCCTCCTCCCTCTCTTCCTTCTCCCTGCCCTCCTCCTCGTTTTCTCTGATGCCTTTCCTGATCACTCTGGCCTGGGATATCTTTCTCCTCAAAACTCCTTTCTTTGGGCCCCTCCAACCTGCACACCACTATTGGCTTCCAGCAAAGGGAGGCAGGAAAAGGGGCATTGGTGCTGGAAATCCTTTCGAGAGCACAGATGAATTTGGACGACATGGGACTGTTTCCGCCCTTGTGGGCAGGCTTTATAGAGACAGGGCCTAGATGCTAGGGGAGTTCCCACTGACAAAGGAGAGAAGATGCCTCCCTTTACTGGAATGTAAAATCTGCCTCTCTCCCCATACATTGGTTGTCTTCTTCTAGACATGGGTGCTGAAGGAAAGAAGGCTCTGGGAGGTTTTGCAACCCTGAGTGTGCACTGTGTATAAAAATGAGAACCCAGCAGCCCTCCAGCCTCAGAAAGCTTTGTTCAGAAGGGGACCTGAGGACCAGGCAGGTCCAAATCTCTCCTTTTGTGGACGAGGAAACTGAGTCTCAGAGGCGGGAATTTGAGCCAGGCCTTTGATGTCAACTCAAGGGCTCCTGTTGAAAAGGTCTCAGACCTTCCAGAGATGACTCTGGCTTCCCTGAGAGGCAATGGACACCTCATGACCTTCCATCCCAGCCAGTGATACAGGATGTCCAGGTTCTGCTCTTCCTCCTGAGGGCTCTGTGGGAGGTTCTGGTTCCTCCCCGGACCTGGACTTTCCCAGGACAGGGACAGACAGAGCGGCAAACCTGCAACCACAAGAGCTGCCCCAGCTCCTGGTGAGGAGGTGCCCCGGTCATACTTCCTAATTCCAAGACTAGGGGTTGAGGCTGGGTGGGGCTTCAGAGGGGAGGTTACTTCATCCCCAGCCAGTCCTTCAGGCCTGGAGGAGGGGGGGATGGGAGAGAGAGACGGAAAACGGTGAGCTGGCAGAGTGGTGGGAGGCACCGCCTCTCCTAGATGGCTCCCGGGGTTCTCAGAGTCCAGGGCCTCCCAGGGACCCCCAGGAAGGGCTCCTACAATGCCCGGTTAGGGGCGCGAAGGTGAAAGAGGGAGCAAAAAAGGGAGGGGGTGTAGGGAACATGAAGACTTGATCCCTGGTTAAACAAACACACAGCCCTGCCAAATGATGTCAGCATGGCTGAAAAAAGTCAAGTGCTCTATTGCCATAGGTGTGTATCACCCAGCCTGCCTCTCATCAAACTGTGTGGGCCCCTCCAGAGTCCCCCATCCCCCACTGGATCGGGGACAAACAGCAGGTGCCATGTGACAATATGGAGGAACAAAAGGGTGCCCCGCCCCTCCCCAGCGTGGAGGCAAGGAGGGAAGGTCCTGAGTTGCTGGAGAGAACTACAGTGGGGCGTGGGGCTTAAGGGCAGCAGAAGGTGAGAAGAGAAGCGAGAGGGCAGGAGAGGTGGGTGTCTGGACAGTCCCCAAGGCTTGGCAGGGGACTGGGGTCACATCTGGGGCAAGCGGGGATCGGGGGTTTTGCAGAGCTAAGGAGCTGGAGGTGGGGACAGGGGGAAATGGACTCCGTCGAGAGGGCGCAGACAAGAGCAGACACTCCTCTTGGGTTCTTCCTCAGAACCTTAATCCCGCTGCAGTGAGCTCATTCGAAAGAAAGCCCACTGCAATCTCCTCCCAGTTGTATTTCTGACAAGGTCTGTCTACAATGCCCATGAGAATGCTGTGGGCAAAGATGGGCTTGGGCATCGTGCCCGAGTGAAGGCATAGAAAGGCTTGGAACGGTGCCCAGCCACGGTATGTGAGCAACAAATTTGCACTGTGATTATTATTACTCCGATTACCCTGGAGGGGTCTCTTCATCGTGCCTCTGTAACCTCAGGCAGGTCATTCCACCTTCCTTGGGCTTCTTTTTCCACTCTGCTCTGACTTACCTCCCACCCACCCTTCCCCATGCCCTTGTTCCTCTGGAAGTTTCCAGGACTGGTGAGAGGAGGATGGAGAAGTCATTTCAGAAGGGGCAGGACACCTGGGGAGCAGAGAGCTGCAGGGCCCGTCTGTGGGGTGTCAGTGGCCTGGGGGTGATCCGGTCATTGTGGCCTAGGCTGACTTCCTCCTCAGCCCTGCGGGGTGTGTGTGTATGTGTGTGTGACTGGGGGGCAGTCCTTTGATGTGCACACGTGCCAGGCACGGGAACAACCCCAGCCCAGCCAACCCACCTCGGTCTTCTTATCACTGGTCCCTACCCGGGCGATCGCTGTGTCCTGGGCAGAGGAAAGGTCACTTTCAGGCTTCCCCTTTACTCTAGCTGCTGGCTCCTCCCCGTCTCATCCAGGGTGGGAGTTAGAGGGAAAGGGTAAGTGTTGGGGTGTGTGGGGTGGGAGCTGGGGACAGGAGAGGAGGGCTGGGGTCTCAGCTAGCGACCCGTCTCTGGCATGAAGGAGTGTGGGCGGAGAGCCCTGTGAGTTTCCAAGACCTTTTATCAACACTTCTTTTATCTCTACTGCCTCCATGTTTCTTGGGCAAATTTCCCACCCCCTCTTAACCCCAGCCCAATTCCCTCACTGGTAATGCCAGGAGAGAGCATGAAATCTCTCTGTGTTGCCTTCTTGCTCTCCAGCTGTTCTAGGGCCTGGCATCGCCACCGGGGGGAATCCCTGCCACCCACCCCATCACACTGCTTATCTCTAAGCCCGTGAGCCCCTTTCTGCTTTCTCTGCCCAAGACAGCTGCTGGGCTGAGGAATCAGCTCCAGCAGGAGGCACTTCCCAGCAGTGAGACCTGACCAAGGTCATGGGTGCCTGAAACACTTCAGGTCAGGCTCCGGGAGGTCTGCATGAAGACAGGGGTTAGTCTTGTGCACCTCTTGGAAGCAGCTGGGTGTCCAAGGACTCCAGTGAGGGGCCCGCTGCTCTGGTTTAAGAAATCCGGAGCTTCCTCAGTGCTGACCTGGTCACTCATTCCCTCGGGGACATCCTTGGGATCAGATGTGGGTTGTTTGATTTAGCTCAACACACATTCACTAAATACCTGCTTTGTGACCATCCCTTGAAAGACTCTGGACACCAAGAGATAAAAATGAATTCTCCTCTGTCCCGCAGGCTTTCATGCAAATGAGTCTTTCAGGTCGGTCGACCAGTCTCTGGGAGGCACCCACAGAGCCCGTCCTGGTGCTGAAGGAGCTGTGTGTGCCAGCCTTGGTGCTGCCCGGGGAGGTTCTTGCCAGGTTCTGAACGCCAGGGCCGAGGGAGGCCGGGAGGGCCGTGCCAGAGGGGTATCAGTGGGAGTGATGCTGTTGCGGGGGAAGGCCTCTCTTGATTTGCCCTCCTTGGCATGCTGGGCCTCCCCAAGAGGCACGGCCTTAAACCTGGTCTTTCTCCTGGTCCTCAGACTCAGCACGGTCAGGTGTAAGTGGGGGAGCTTGTGCTCAAATGACAGGTCGGCTTGGCCGAGCCTGGGGACCCTGTGGGCTCACTGGGAGGAGTGGGGGTCCTGCCTGAGGGTGATTTGGGCCCCTCCGAGCTGTCGGACGAGGAGTTAGGAGCTGGTCCAACCCTCAGGTGGCTGGGTCCTGCTGCTGCCTGCCTGCCTGATGGAGCCCTGCTCGCTGTCTCTAAGCTTCACTTTGCCCTCCAACTTCCCCCAACCTCTCAGGACTCAGGGGACACGGAGCAGGAGGCAGGTGGAGAGGCAGACAAGCGAGAGAGAACGTCTCGGGGCAGAAGGACAAGGAGACAGTTGCAGAGAGACCGGAGAGCCAAGCATTAAGAACTTGTTGCTTCCAAGACTTGCAAAGAAAGGGAGAGGTGCAGCCAGCAGCCTCGAAGGCCGGTGCCCCGGGAAAGGTCCAGTATTTTTGTTCTTTCCTCTGCAAAGGGAAGAAGCCCATGCAAAGGAGCCAGCTGTTTCTCCTCACCCCATCTGGGGGTCTGGCAGGTCTCTCTGTTGGAGCTTCTGTCCTGCATGCTCCCTTGACCCCCAGCCCTGCAGCTGAGACCTTTACATGGAAGTGAGGGCCCCAGGGGTTCCTCAGGGCTGAGGGGCTGGGCGCTGTTCTCAGACCTGGGGTGCCGGAGCCTGCTCCCCACCAGTGCTCAGCTTGGCAGACAGCCGCTGCCAAGGCCGGCTGGTCCCTGTCATCCCTCCCCTCACGGACCCCCGCCCTCCTCCAGGGATGAGCCCAGCCCAGCGGGCGCCTGGCTGGTGCTTACCGGTGGGTGAGCAGGGCCGTCTGGGCAGGGCTGCAGGCGTGTCCGGGGAGCGGGCAGCTGAAAGGTGTGTGAGGTGTGCGAAAGGGCTCTGCTCAAATAATCCAGGGAGGCGTTTATAAATAACTTTACCTCAGGGCCGCGGGGTGAGCCCCGGCTTCCGATTGGTTCGGAGGGGAAGTGGTTTTGAACACTACACCGTAGCTAAGCCTGGGGAGATAGGAAAAGTAGATAAGGGAAGAAAGGTCCCAAATGAACAGCCCTTTTTTTGTTTTGCCCAAGGAGCAGGGCTGTTTGATGGGAGCTTGGCACTTCCTAAATCCACCCCGGAGACAATAGGTCACATTCAACGGCCCCGGCCCCACGGGCTCCCCCAGGGCCAGCCAGCCGTGGCTGAGGAGGGGTCGAAGCAGACCCCTCTCCAAGCTTGCTGTCCTGCTGCTTCTGGGGTCAAGCCGCCTGGCCTCTTGGACAAGGGGAGGCATTGAGACAACCCAAAGGGAGGGGGCCTGGGGCTTCTTGCTCCGAAGGTTGGAGACTCGGGGTGTTGCAGGGGGACGGTAGAGCTCTGAAAACCCCCGAGGAAGGCTGCAGGCCATTACTGGGGAGGCCTGAGGGCCCTTGAGAGGTTTGGGGCAGTGGTGGAGACCTGGGTCCCAGGTCCGTCCTCAGCCTTAAGTCACTCGTAAGTTCTGTGTCTTGAGTGATGCCCTCCTAACTTCCCAGGTATGGTGTGCGGGGTGCATGGGAGTTTGGGATATGGTAAAGGCACTCAAGAAACTGGAATGCCAGCAGTTACATGTAAGGTGACCCAAAGGCTTGCACATCTCTGCCACAGGCCTCTGTCACCTCCATCAGTGAACGCCCATCGGTCGTGGCTCGGCTCATGCTGCCACGTGCCTTCTGGGTTAGAGCTGCCCACCCACTCCACGCTCACTCAGTATTGTTGTGAACCTCAGAAAGGGCAGAGGGGTGGGTTAGGGGAGTTTCTTGACATATTTCCTGAGAGAGGGGGTCCCCAGCTGGTGCCAGAAGTCCCTTCCTTCTCATATCTGGGGCAGTACTGTGTTAGTCTGAATTGTCCTCTCATCTCTCCAGAAGACAACAGAGGCTCTGAGATGGGTTGGAATCAGTACAGGGGGTTTCAGTAAGTCCCCCTGGAAGCTAAGGAGAAAGTCCCACTGAGAAGGTGAAATGAGCTATCTTAAGCACATAATAAGGGTTCAATAAATTTTTTTTTTTTTGCTGTGCAGCATGTGGGATCTTAGTTCCTTGACTGGGGATTGAACCCATGCCCCCTGCATTGGAAGCACAGAGTCTTAACCACTGGACCGCCAGGGAAGTCCCACAATAAATGTTTGTTGAATGAATGAAAGAATGAATTGTCTGCAAGCCCAGCCCAAGGGAGAGTTTGCAGATGCATTGCTTGTGGGGATGAGAGTAACACCCAAGGCCACTCAGAGTTGTCAGGGTGTAGCCAGGGGCCTGAGCGAAGCTGGCCCGAGGATGCCCTGCCACTTGCCGAAGGCCAGGCATGTGCATGGGCACTTCCTCCAGCAGCCCTGCCCCAGGCCCCTGCACAGGCCTAGCTGTCCTGTTCCACCACTCCCTCTGCTTCATCATAGTAACAAAGCACTGGTCACAGCAGATGGAAATCATGTATCCAGTCACTGTCTTTCTCCAAGGACTGTGAACTCCATGAGGAGGGTAGGGCAGTGCCTGTTTCATTCACTCCTGCATCCCTACCGTGTAACTCAGTGCCTGCCACTTAGTAAAAGTTCAGTATAGATTTGTGCAATGGGTGAATGACTGTGTGATGAAATCTTCAAACAAAGTAGAGCCAGAGGTCCAGAGCTGGCGCATCCATCTCCAGTATTGCCCAGTGGCGTGGGTAGTATGACCTGGTCTAAACTTTGCACAGATGAGTTATCAGTGTTAGTCACTCAGTTGTGTCTAACTGAGACCCTGTGGACTATAACCTGCCAGGCTCCTCTGTCTATGGGATTCTCAGGCAAGAACACTGGAGTGGGTGGCCGTTCCCTTCTCCAGGGGGTCTTCCTGGCCCAGGGATTGAACCCGGGTCTCCTGCATCTCAGGCGGACTATTTACCGTCTGAGCCCCCTTATCAGACTCTCCCAATAGCCAGGTGACTGTGAGCACCAAGATCAAACAGCTAAGTTCCCTTGCTGGGATACCATGCCTGCAAGGGAAATCTTTCTGTCGTACTTTGGTTCTTTGAGAGCAGAGAATGTACTGTCCAATTGTCTGGGGCATCTAGGACTGCCTGCAGGTACATTTCTCTTTTTTAAATGACCCATGGACATTTTGGTCTATCGATTGATCTAGTGTGAGTTTTGTTAACGTGAGTCAGTCTGTCCTGAACCTGATTGACTTTCGATAGTGACACTGGGTGACAGACAGGTTATCTGGTTTAATTCTCATAGCAACCATGTGATGTAGTCATGTTACTGTCATTTTTAGGAGGAGTAAACTGAAGTTGACTGAAGTGAAATAACTTGCTCAAAGTCACAAAGGCCTCGATTGAAGAGGCAGAAATCCAATTTGGATATTATGGCCTCAAATTCTATGCTTAGTCCATTTTACCACTTTAATTTTTGACCCACAAAACAAAGGATGACAGCCACCTTTTAAGACTCCACCTTTTATACACTTTCAGCCTCCCCATCAGGTATATCCTCCAAGATAACTTGGGTAAAGATGGCTGAGGCCTACAGATTGGGGCTGGCAACTTGTTGACGCTCCTCCCTAGCCCTTCTCCAACCGTCTTGGCAAAATTCCGGGAAGGCTGATCTTGTATAATAGTGACAGGAAGCATAGAGCCTCGAGGGTTCTCTGAAGGCACCAAGGGAGGTAGACAGAGCCCTCAGAATCTGGGGAAAGCCAGACCAGAGGCCAGAGAAGCAGAGGACAGGAGGGAGAGGCAGATGGCTCAAAAGGACATCTTAGGGGTATCTTGGATAGAGTTAAATTATGGGATAGAGGGTAGGTGGAGAGAAAACGAAGGCGGGGAGAGACAGATGGCAGGAATGACAGCACAGAGAAGAGGCAGACTCAGAAACCAAGAGCAAGGGGCCAAGAGCAAGCACATCAACCTCCCAGCAGCTTGCAGTCCTGACTTTGTTAAATCATTGTCTGCTTTTCATGGTGAACACATTTCAGCGTCAACCCTGTACTTTCCTGGAGCATACAGGTTCTGTTGGTAACAACCTTACCCCTAGAGTTGAAAACTGTGTTCATCCATCCATCCATTCATTCACTTAACTTAACCATCACCCAATGCCAGGATGCTGTGCTGGAGATACTGAGATCCACAAGGCCCACCCCCTGCCCTGAGAAGATCTCACTCTGGGGGGAAGACAGCGAGGTGAAGAGACCCTCATCACATGCAGTCACAGTGCCATGGCTGTGCGGAGGAGAGACTGTGGGGGTGCTGGGGGGTGGTCGGGAAAGGCTTTTCCCAGGAGGGGACACAGAAGGGCCTATCGTGGCCAGAGCCTGGGACTTGAGGTTTAAACCCCAGGTGGCCACTCACAGGAGGAAGTGGGACAGGGACTGTCCTGGAAGCACTGTTTTTATAGGGGAGGGGTCCCAGCATGCCTCCAAGCCTCTGACCCCCAACTCCATCCCAGGTTCTCCCTTGATATCCTATCCCTGAGTTTCCATCTGACCAGAGCTCCACCCTATTCTTCAGCAAACCTTAGAGTGGTGCGTGTACAGACACACATACGCTCATACCAAACAGATTTGGGGGATTTACTGAGTTATGCAGGTAAAGCCAAAGTAGTCACAAAGTACCCTTCTGACGATGTCACCTTGGAGCTGGTCCAGCTAAGGAGCAGCTAGTTTCCACACTAGTAAACTGAGGCTAGACCTCAAGAAGATGAATCCTGCCACCTCTAGCCTTATCTGCACCTGCTGGCTTCTTGTACCTGTGCCCTGCGTGGGGCCTGGGCCAAGCGTGCGGGCAGGATCATGTTTTGGGCAAAGCAGCCCAGCAACTTAAGCAAACACCTCAAGGCTGGAGTCAGAAAAACCTTCAGCACCTTGCCCTGCGGTGGCAGGATCTGACCTGGCCCTGCAGGTGCCAGCTTCCTGAGTTCCCAGGAGCTGGCAGGGCTGCAGGGGTACCCACGGAGAAGCTGGCTCGCACCTCTCTTCCCAGGGAAGTCAGAGCACAGAGCAGTGAGCGTCTGAGATGGGCCAGGGGACAGAGGAGGCCAGGTGAGCGGCAGGGACGCCAACCTGTGTCCGGCCTTTGAACTCAGGGCACCAGAGCTTCTGCCGTGTGCCTGGCACTGGGCTAGGCGCTGGCAACCGAGACTGAAGGCAGCCAGGCCCCGTGAGGCCAAGACTGAAGAGTAGGCAGAGGGAGGCTTCCTGGAGCACACACGGCTGGCAGGCAGTATGTTGAAAGGAAGCTAAGCGGGGCTCTTAAGGGTGTAGAGAGAGGACAGGATCCGTCTGGAGAGAGTCAGATCAGCGCTGGCCAAGACCTCCAAAGCATCTGGGGCCAGAGGAAGGGGCATGTTGTTGAATCCTCGGATGAGGAGCAGAAGAAGGGGGTCTCAGAGTTCCGAGTCCTCTCCCTCATTTTACAGGTGAGAGAGAGATGGGAGGTCCCAGAGATGGGAGGGACCTGCCCAAGGTCACCCAGAGAGGCCATGTCAGAGCCCAGGCTGGGTGCGACCCAGAACCCCAACCTGGCCCTCCAGCCTGGCCTCTCTCTCCACAAAGTGGGTGGGAGGTGGCTTTGTGACCCTTCCTCCCTTCTCCGCGTCACCCAGGGGCTCTCCAGAGACACCGGGTATCCAGGGTGCTGCTGGCGGCAGAGGTTCCCTGCTCGTGGGGCCCAAACACTTTGCCGTGAGGTTTGGGACAAGAATGTTTACAGCATCGGGCCCGGGAGCCCAGGTGTGCTGGTCCTGCAGCTTCCAGACAGGGGAGATGAGTCTGCTCAGGCCAGACCCTGGTGGACTCGGTGAGGGTGTTCAAGGCACTTCACCCTGCCCTGGGAACCCTGCGGATGAGGCTTGAGGTGAGGAGGCGGGGGGTTCCACAT